ACCTAATTGGATCCAAAACATCTTTTAATATAAATATGCCTGTGTAAAGCAAAAATGCTCTGAATTCTATGGCTTTAAAACGTTTAACATATTTTAAGGATCGAGGCCGCCTAGCAAAGTCCTTTGGAATTTGATTATATAGAAAACTAAGTTTGGAGTCCAGTAACTGAATTTTTTCAAGTCGAAGAGAGTAGGGCTTATTTCGCTTTTTTATCCACGCCAGTAACAAAGTCTTTGTCACTCCCAGACAAACTATATGCCCGAATGACTTCACTATATCAATTGGTAGTCTTCCTATAGCTGTTTGATCCATATTAACGTCCTATCAGCATTATTTTCTTTTGCAAAAATAATCTTGTGGTATTTTGATTGACCGCTTTGGGTACACTTTAAACAACTATTATAGCCAGAACGACCTTTTATACCTAAAACAAATGCAGGTGCATCGCATATAAATCCTCGACATGCAAAAGTGTAATGCTTTTTCTTAAAAAATAAGCCATTTTCATTTGAAGGCTTCAATTCGTCAACAAATTTTTCAAAGGAATTCATTAGCATTGGATTTTTACTGTTTCCGCAGTAAGCTCCTACAACTCTAACGTCATCTGATCCATCAACGTTTATCAAAATTGGCCATTTCTGAACAACATTAATGTTTAAATTTAAACTATTTGCAGTAAAATGATTTTGTAGTAGAAAATCCGTCAGAGCATCTTCAACTCCATAATGTATGTACTCCCCCGTGCCCATTGCTATTCTCTGTGTTTCTTTGGGAGTATTTTTTTAACGTCCTAGCACATAAAGGAAGACCTGGAGCATAATTTCTTAAGATCTTAAGCAAGTCGTCTGTCGCAGTATTCGTGACGTAATGCTTAATTGTCCAATCTGTCAATTTCTCGCGGAGCCCGCATATAGAATTAGATCCAGAGTCATCGGAGTCACAGTTATTAGTTTCGCTGTCTTCATTGCGGTCTTCAAGACACGAAAAAGAAGCCACCGAGTTTTCACCACTAATAAATTCGTCTTGAAGGGCTGTAGCTCTCAGTTCCGGCTGGTTATCTTCAACCCGCGCAAGCATCAAATTCAGTATTTGCGCACTTTCTCTTTTAACTTTTTTTCTACTCATTGTTATTTTGTTTTGCAATTGAATTTAATTTTATTCTTACAATTTTTGTTTAACTGCGCACTTCCAAATCGTTTGACATCAATTTTAGAGATGAACAATTCTTAGCAAAATGTATCGATAATTATAACGTTACCATGTTCCTTCAGATCAATCTCAAATGAATTTCAAATATAGAATGTAAACCACGATTTCAATTTGAGAATCATTTGAGAAAAGCATTTGATATCAAATCGAGAAATAAATTTTTCTCAAACGTTTGAAACAGTGTTTGCTGGGTTACGATTGACCCCGTAAAATTTCCCAATATTCCATTGTGTTAAAATTTCGTTAGGAGACACCAGGGTTACATTGTACTTTAAACATGTAACAAAATTCACCGGTTACAAGAGAGCATAGAATGGGAAAACATTTAAGGGAACTTCATTTGCAGGTTATGGAATTTTTGGTCCAGCGCAGAATAGACCTGTAGCCGGTAAGTAACGTTCTCGTTTCAGGGTTTTTGAATAAATTTTTTTAATTTTTCGGATATGAATCTGATAAAAAATAGAGCGAGGCAGAGTCTTACTTACAAAACCTTTCATTATTGAATCATGCACCCGGTGGATTTCTTTTTAAACGACTTTAAAAAAGGAGAGGGTCTTCAAATCGTCGGAAATATTTTTTTTATGTATGTTACCGCATAGGATTGTTGATATTACTATTGATATCGAAGATACTTTTTGCTCCCGATACGATATTATTGGCGCGATATTTTTTTTGACGATAATATCAGATATCGATATTTTACGCACAAATATCGCCTGGTTACCAGAAAAAATAATTGTATGCTTTAGCTAGCATTATTAACGATACTTCTTATATTTAAGTGGTTTATTTTTTACACCGTCTCAACAAACTTTAATATACATAAGCAAGCAACGGATTTTAAGACCTAAAAACCTATTAAAAAGGCAAAATAAAATAACGAAATAGGCAGGAAAAGGCACTAGAAATCGCAAAAAGGCAAAAGAAGGCACTAAAGTAGAAAAAAAAACAGAAAAATAATCAATAAATACATTTATTTTAGAAATGTTTATTTTACAAGTAAAAAGAGAACAAGTAAGAAAGTCTAAGTTCGGGCGGAGCCGAACATTAAATACCCGGCGCATGTATTAAATACATATATGATTTTCACCTTTCCGAAAGCGACCGCTACATGGTAAGCCGGGGTGTATCAATTTTGAGTAAATTAGCGTCCTTAAATTTCGAAATATTGAAGTTTCAAGCATTTCTGAAATTTACCGTTAATGAAAAGCGGCCTCAATTTTAGTCCGAATTCAATAATTTTCAACGTTTTGCTTTTAAGTGGCAAACACAATAACTATACCGAGTTTGGTACAAATTGGTAGAACG